TCTATCTATCTATCTATCTATCTATCTATCTATCTATCTATCTATCTATCTATCTATCTATCTATCTATCTATCTATCTATCTATCTATCTAAAGATCTACTATCGAAACCTGTCACTTTATCAAAGAAAGAAATTGAGACAGATAATCAAACCGAACAAGTACAAAGATTTTTGCATCACACAGGCATTTTAAAAGAAGAGACTCACCTGATTGCAGTGCTGTGGTCTTCCCCTGTGCGTGATAGTACTAACCTCAATGGAAATATGAATGATCCAGCTCATCTTCTTAGCTCATGTGCCCTTCTCTACTCTATGTCATGTGAACAAACAAAATCCGCATCTTTAAGCAGCAGCACACAGTTCAAATGACCTGCAGTGAGTGAGCCCAAAGAGCTGAATGACCCGCTGCAAAGTGAAAATATGGAGTCTGACTCTTGGTAAATACTGTCGTTGGTCCTACACAGCAACCCCCCACCCCCCAATGTATGTAATGTAACAGAATGCTTCATGTGATTTTTACATAACTTTGATGAATTAACATCAAAAAAGTCATTTTTTAAACAGAAACATTTTGCTTCTTGCAAAAATACTGTAGATAACTTATGATTAGTTCACAGATATGCAGTGTTTATTTAGTTGATAAAACTGCTAAAGACTACTTTAATGCTGTAAATACAAGAATTAGATGAAAGCAGTGCTTTCCCCAAATGTCATTATGTAGTGAATGTAGCTTGGCTATCTAGCAACAGCATTTTTCTTTTTTTTTGTTTAACACATTTTTATATGAATACTGCTATAACATGAACCAGCGCTAGCAAGATGTGGCTGATAGATGGAGGATGATAGTAAAAGTTTGAACTAATATTTGATCAAAGCTACCCAAACTATAACCCAACAGAATTATTCAAGCTGGGGAGTTGATTAAAGAACCCGACACATCGCCAACCCAACTCAAACTTTTTGATCTCCATTTCTTTGCGCTCATTTTCCAGTTGCATCTTTTCTTTGAATATTTCAGCATTTCCTCCAGTTTTCCAGATTTTTCTTGCAATCATCCTCTATTTCAATGATCATGTGTGCATCTTTTAACTTTGTTTCCAGTTCTGATACTTCCAGATGGATCTTTTTCTCCATTATTTGGTGTTCGAGCTCCAGCTGTTTATTTTTTTCCCCCAGCTGTGCATACTGACTTTTTATGTTCTCCGGCTCTTAAGGCTGCATACATTTCTCCTGGAGCTGATGTTTTTTCTGCAGAAGTTTATCCTTCTCCTCCAGATCTTTGTATTTCTGCTCCAGTTCTTATCTCTTCCAGATGTTTCTTACTCTCAAATTCCTTCTGCTCCTTGAGTACTTCAACTTGGATGTGTACATCGTTAACTTTAGTCACATCTGCCTTCTGTTGCTTCAATATTTTCGTTTTTGTACTCCAGCTCTTTTTTCCCTCAGGTAGCTTGCATTTGCCCTCCATTTCTTTAATAAAATCAGAGAAGGTGTCTACGCGAATGAAATTTCTTCTTTCATTCAGGAACCCATTAAGGTGACCCCATATTATTTACGATCTGTCCCGGTGGTTGTTACTCCATGGCTGAACACATGAAGGAATTTCTCCCATTCCAAGTACAAATTGCTGATAAAGCTAAGCTAAGCTAACACAGCCGTTTTTGGTTCTCTGAGTTAAAGCACATGCATCAGATTAAAGGGGGCCTCATAAATTGAATCTTTGTAATGTCAGACTTGGAGTCCCAGTTTTTCCTGATTGAGCTGTTTACAGGGTTTTTTTTTTAAGATAACCATTCATTTACAGACCACTTCTACTAGATTACTTGATGTTAAAGAAAATGTAAAATTCTGATGATTCTCCAGCAAGTTCTGTATTGGCCTTTTCCTTCTGATTTCCCAGTGCATTATGGGACAGGAATGAGAAATTTCTATCAGCAGTGTCATATTTACCTCATTTTGAGTTCATGCATGATACAGTTTTTGGTTTCTTGTTGTTGAACAAGCAGGGATATCAAGGTCCACAGGGGATATGAAGGTCGGGATTCAACATTGAAATACAGTCAGACCCACTGACCCTACAGTCTGTGGCTAACAGTTAATGATTCCCTATCTTACTTACAGTGGGGCAAAAAAGTATTTAGTCAGCCACCGATTGTGCAAGTTCCCCCACTTAAAATGATGACAGAGGTCAGTAATTTGCACCAGAGG